AGTTATATTAGAAACAAATTTTATAAAAGATCGAAGATATCTTATGATCCAATAGGTAGAATTTAATAATTTTTATATCATTAGATTCGTCTCAATTAAATGAATCAAATAGTATAAGCTTCATCAAATTCTGGCTACTGGATTGTGAGATATCCTTGATCTAGTAAATAAAAATCTTTCGAATTATTATAAACTAATTGAAAATTGTGCATGTGATCGGTAAATATCATAATTTTATTAGACAGATTGACCCTGAGTCAGCGTGAGAAGTTTGTGCTACGAGGTTTGTCAACCATGCTCAAAAAATGGCAGTCTAAACCTGCCTTGGTACACTAATAAAAAATGCCGGGAAGGCAATTTTACCTATAGAACTGCCCTAACCCTAACCTTAAACTAACCCTAATCCTAATTATAATTAAAAACTTCAAAATCATGTAGGTACAAGGCTTTAGCGATCCCCCTCTTTTGGAAATTCAATTGAGATAATAAAAGCAGATCTTGCACCTTATGGAAATGACCAAATATTCCCAGTATCTGTATCTACAGAACTATAGATTGTACCCGGGTAGACATTTTTATTATATAGCTGTAATAAATTACCCAGATAACCGAGTAACTTAATAATACCTGGGTAGAGATTTTCTTGACATGTACAATCTCTATACAGAACCTGATCCAAACAAGTGCTTTACTATTCTTTTACGAAAATACAAGGAAGTTACAAACCAGAAAAACTATAACCAGATTAATGCCTTGGCATATGCTTTTTATGTGGGAGAATTATTGTGGTATCATAAAGATGATATCAAGACTACAATTAGAAGGACCCAGGCCAAAACTTATAAACAAGTATTCAGAAGCAAGAATATAACCATATTTATTAAACAAGTCACATTAAAGTTAAAGACTTTAATAATATTAATGTACATGACTTTGACACTCTTCTAAATTTCTGTGATAGTCTAGGTTTAGATTTTATGGAGTAAAATCTTAAGAGGAGGAAAATGTTACAAAGTAGATTGTAACACAAAGTAATACTAGTGTAGCATAGTATAGAAAATATTCTATTATTATATTATTTATTACATTATTATATTATAGCATTATAGTTATTATTATATTATTATTATATTATTAGTTATAGTTAATTATATTTAGTATAGAAGAGATTCTATTGGGTAAAATAATATGGCACAGTAATACTGTGTAGTAATGCAAACAGCTTAAGCCGAGCTGATAATCAGCTCGGCTACAGGACCACTAATAATGTATCAGCTCCGAAAATGGCTCAGCTAAAGATTTTGAAGCCGAAAGAGCTGATAGGCTTAAAGCACATGATCATCAGCCAATAGTAATCATCCAGTGCCAAAATTATATTTAATTTTATCTAGTTATGTAGTTAGTTAATTGCCTGGGTAATACAGTAATATATAAGTTTTATACTGCTTCTTCAAAGAACTATTCTACTAAATATAGTAATATTTAACTGAGGTGATCAAGATATTCTTAAGGAAAGACTTTATATATATAATTTAAAATTATTGTTTTAAAATTTAATGATACTAATCTTAATGCTTATAACTTGCTTAGATAGATACTTGTCTCTAATATAGAATAATAACTAAAAAGTAGAATATACTACATAATTTTTCACCAATAAGTTATTTATTACTATTTGAGTTACAGGAAGAGAAAACCCTATAAATCATGTTTTTTGAATATTTAAAATATCTTAAAGCTGATAATTTGAACACTTAAGATGTAATGCCATTCGAATTGTCTTAATGAGATGATTCAGGTAATATTAAAATCTTAAGTATTTAAATTCAAGTAATAATTTGCATTGTATTATATCTAATCGACTTGCTGAAAATATATTATTAATTTTGAACTTCATTATGTAACATATTCTCATATTTATTTAAAACCCTTTGTATATCATTAATAGTTTGCTAAAAATCTATCAGCAAGTTTGAACTTTATTATATAACATGGCTATATTTACTTAAGATTATTCATATAATATAACCAGTTTGTCAAAAATGGATTAGTAGTTTTTGATAATGAATTTGACTAGGAAGTAAAAATAAGTTAAGCTGACAATCAAACCAGTCATGATCTTGAAACCTTAACCATGACTTTAGAGCCAAGCCATCTCAATCCAGATAATTGGCTTAAGAAATAAGATAAGCTGACAATCAAACTAGCCACAATTTTGGAACTTTAACTATAGCTTTGAAGCCAAGCCATCTCAATCTAAATAATTGGCTTGAGAAATAAAATAAGCTAACAATCAAACTTGTCACAACCTTGAAACCTTAGCCATAGCTTTAGAGCCAAGCCATCTTAATTCAGATAATTAGCTTAAGAAATAAAATAAGCTAACAATTAAACCTGTCACAACCTTGGCTTTGGAGCCAACCCATCTTAGTTAGATAATTGGCTTGAGAAATAAGATAAGCTGGCAATCAAACCTGTCACAATCTTGGAATCTTAATCATGGTTTTGGAACCAAGCTATCACAATTCAGATAACTGGCTTAAGAAGTTATATTAAGCTAGCTTGATCACTAGCTAATATATCTCTATACAGTTTTATTAAATAATGTTAACAAGTAATAAAAAAAATTAGTTCTCTAAGAGAAAAAAAAAATCTTACACACATAGCCTCAAAAGTCTAATCAAACACACTGTGTATTTTTAGTATAACCGATAATTAATAAGTATAAAAAAGATTAAAAACATACTATCTGATTTTATAATTAATTCAAGATAATCAATAATTAATAAGTATAAAAAGCTTAAAAACATACTTACTCGATTTCATAATTAATTTAAGAATTAACTCTATCTTTTATGAATATATATTAGAATGGATACTAATAATCTTTATAAAACAGAAATCTCTGATACTTCCTCTTCTACAAATCAAGATATTTCTGATAATAATGCAGTTGCAAGTACTGCTACCACAAGCAGTAATACAAATACTTCTATTATATTAAATAAAAAAAAAACCAGACCTAAAATTTCTGATGTTAGATCCTATTTTAAACAAAAAACTATTAATGATAAGGAAGTAGTTTGCAATTTTTGCAAAACTCCATTTAGTAAAACTACTGCTACTGGTACTTTGCACAAGCATCTCAATTCTCAACATCTAGGTTGGAATATGAACAAACTAGAATCAAAGCAACAACTTTTTATATTTATACCTGAAACTACAATTTTGAGACAAACCCTAACATTAGCTCAAAAAACTCATTTCAATATGTTAATTACTGAATGGATTATATTAAATACCTTGCCTTTTTCTATTGTTTCAAGCAAATCATTTGCTAAAATGCTTCAATACCTTAATATTAATATTGACTTACCGTTACGTGAAACTATAAAATCTACTATCCAAAAGACCTTTATTGTAACACAAAAGGATATTATATCTCTTTTTGAACAAATTTCTAGCAAAATCTCTATTATATTGGACATATGATCCTCTTGTGCTAATATGCCTTTTATTTGCATTATGGCGCATTAGATAGATAATAAGTGGAAGCTTAAAAAAATCTTACTTGATATTTGTATGCTTCCTCATCCGCATACTGGTGAAGAGATTGATGAATGATTACACTCCATTCTTGCAGCTTTTAATATTACTAGCAAAGTTTTTTGTTCTACTACTGATGGAGGCTCTAATGTAATTTTAGCGATGCAGTTATTAAAAGGGAATTTAGCTTTAAAAAATAATTTTCATTTTTATTCTCGTCATTGCCTGGCTTATATATTAAACCTTATTGTTACGGCTAGTTTATTACCTATTAAATCATTAATTAAAAAAGTATATAACTTTGTTAATATTATCTTATCATCATCATCTATAACCCAGGATTTTAAAGAACTTGAACAATCAATTGGTAAAGGTAAAGCAATTCGTAAAATTCTACAGGATGTCTCAACTCAGTGGAATAGTACATACATGATGCTTTCAGCCTATGTAACTATACCGACAACAATTGCTGCTATTATTAGACGTAATAAAAAACTTAACAAATTTAAACTTACATTACAAGAAGAAGCTAATCTTCAAGCCACAACAAAATTTCTTGAACCATTTTATGAAACAACTAACGTTCTTTCTAGTAGTACTTATATAACTTTAGGTATTTCTATTTTACTAATTGATGATATTATTGATAATATCTCGTCATGTATTCACGATTCAACAAGTCCAGAATTTCTCAAAGAAGCCGCAACACAAATGTTTGGAAAAATTCAAAAATATACTAATGAAATTTATGATAAAACAGCATTTATAGCTGCTATCCTTGATCCTCGAATTAAATTAGAATTAATATCTGATGATATGAATACTGAAGCAAACTGTTCTATTTTTAATAATATTTTTAGAACAGAATACTCTAACCTTATTCTAAATAGTTTATCTACAAATTTAGAAGTGCCATTAAATTTAATATATACAGAACAGGTGGCTCAAAAAAAGCGTAAAACAAATACTCCTGCTAATAAACCTGATGAATTTACTTAGTATTTGAGTAAGTATGTTTTACCAATAGATATCAATCCATTAAACTAGTGAAAACTCAATTGTACTCATTTTCAAAATTTGTCTCAGATGGCCAAAGATTATTTGACTATCCAATCCACATCAGTACCTTCTGAACAGGTATTTTCTAAAGCAGACAATATAGTCTGAGCTAAACGTGCATGTCTATCTGAGAAAAATATACAAATACTTATGTGTATTAATTCTTGGTTAGACTATGGCATTCAGTTTTATAAAGAATAATTTCACTATAAATTATATACATGTAAGTGTATACAAATTTTTAAAATTCAAATGCTGGTATAAATTACTTAGCTAACATTTAATAATAAATGAATACTTTGTATTTATCTTCTTTAACCCAATTTCTTTTTTATACAATTTGCCAAGATCCCATATTTTATAAGAATTTCCTATATCAGCAGATATTTTTTGTAATAGTAGTAATATGCAAGAATAGTTAGAAGTATAGAATTTGATTACTTAAGCACAAATCAATCAGTTATTTGATTTCTTACTATTGAATATTTTGTTTTTATGCAATTCGCATAATTTATTATGTTTAGATTTATGTTTCTGATAATATGAATTTCCTTTTTTTCATTACTTTTTCTGTAAATAAAGTAAATAATTCATTAGATTTATTACTAATACATAAAAATATATGAATTAAAAATTTATCACTATGTATCAATTTTCTAATTTGCTATAGTCATATTTTAAAAACTAAAATATTATTGAGCTATTACTTTACTATAAATCTATCTCAATAACATCATTATTTGCTTGATAAGAAAAAAGGCTGATCTCTTGAAAGGCATGGATGAGCAATTATCTTAAAAAAAGAGAGCTTGTGATTTATAAATAGTATAAATTTGCTAAAGCCCTTACTTTTGCAAGTCATTCTCATTGACTTTCACTAAAGATATTTTACACTTGATCCACTTAAGTTCGAATTTAATGGTTTATCAGAAAGACCTTTTATTGGCTAAAATCAAAGATCGGCCCTATTATTACCGTTACCTTTCACGTTATAGAATATTTTGTAACTTTTGCACATAATGTTGGAAACTTAAAAGCTTTTACTAGTTATTTGCTCTAAAAATCAAAATTTTAATACTATACCTTTGTGATATCTACTGATATATACAGAATTGCTTCTATGACAAGTGAACAAAAATAAATAAATAAATTTATGATCGTAAGTGTTTCTAGATAATAAAATTTACCCATGCTTTCGAATCCAGAATGACTTTTAAAAAAAGCAAAAGGGATATCAGAATCCATAAATCTGATTGGATGCAATGTTATCTCAAATGGCTCAGCTCGGCTTGAGGTTGATCAGCTTATGAATGGTTTAGCTCCAGTCTATAGAGCCGAAGGATCAGCTTGGCTTGGTCAGTATCGGCTATGAGTAGGGTTGGAGGCACAGCAAATTTTTGGGGCATATCTCAGAGGGCATGCCTTTGCGAAGGGCATGCCTCTCTATGCTCTGGGCATGCCCCTTTATATATAAAAGAAATTTGATTAACTTATTGACAAGTTTATTTTACCGATAGTTTATTTCATTGAAGCTTATTTTACAAACAAAAGTAATTCTGGCCAATATCATTGGGTTATAAAAAAAACTTGTTGGTGAAATGAGCTTCAGTAACTAGACTGTCAGTAAAATAAACTTGTCAGTGAATAACTATCAATGAAATAATATGGGTAATAAAAGTATACTATAATAAGATATTTGTATTCTAACTGGTTAATCGCAGAAATAGCTAATCATATGTTAGCTATAGATTACATGACAGAGATATGCTTTTTGGTTAAAGGGCATGCACCTAGGCATGCCCCAGGGGCATGCCCTATGGGGCATGCCTTCAACTTCTGTGCCTCCAACCCTAGCTATGAGCTGAGCTGAACTGAGCTGTTTGTATCACTAATACTGCAGCTAAGTAAAATAGTATATGATACAAGTGCCTCTGAGTACCTCTACACAAAGTGCCTCCAAGTGTCTCTGCACAAAGTGCCTCCGAGTGCCTCTACACAAAGTGCCTCCAAGTGCCTCTACACAAAGTGCTTCTGAGTGCCTCTACACAAAGTGTCTCTAAGTACCTCTACATAGTTAAGCAATTATACCGTTATACTTCTATCTGTTAAAAAGTTATAAAAAGAAAGCCTTCTGCCTCTTCTGCCAAGTCAGAGTTTATATACTCTCATATAGAGTTTCATTACTCTCAAAGAGAGTTTTTATACTCTTACAGAGAGTTTGATTACTCTCATAGAGAGTTTACTACCCTCTTATAGAATCTAGCCCCACCCCTTTACTCTTCTCTACTTGTAAAGTATAATATTCCCTCTCTAGAGTAATTCCTACAGGCAAGGTTATTACCATGAACCTGTTATTAATAAATATTATTATCTCTAAACTGTTATTATCTTGAACTATTTGCCTTCTGCTATGAAGTTAAAGTATACACTTCACGTCCACCCCATGTATATTCATAAAGTATATCACTGCACCAGGTGACCTTGTTACTTTGCTATATTTATACTAAGAAGGCTATAGCATTGTAACAATATGTTTGCAGTAAGGCTATTATACTAGCTCTTATTGACTTCAGCTAATGGTTTATAAATTTACTGTATGTTTTCTCACTTATAGCTACTCTTTTTTTCTTAAACTGCTTCTCGAAATATAATCTCGTTGCTTCCTTTACCTCATTGGGCTCATTTATTAGAGTACTATCCTTCTCCTCTTGTATGAAAACTCTATCAATCTTGACTTTTCTCTTTTGTTTGTTAAGTAAACTTGCTAGCATTTTATTTACTTCTTCATTTATTCTCATACACCTTTTTTCTATTGCTATCTTATCTCTCTTTGCTCTTGCTCTCTACTCTATATTTGTTCTTCACTTTTGAGAATCTTCAAGATTAGCTTGCTTTTTTGCACCCATTCATCTAACTGTTTGCCTCTATTACTTGTTATCTCCTCAATATCCTCACCACTTTTGGCTTTAATTTTTCTAATTCTCTTGTTGATTTTATCGCTATTTAACTCTACTTTCTTTGTAGATGCCTTCTTGACTTTGCTAATAACTCTGCTTAATACTGTTATAACTTCATGTAATTTTGAGTTTTTTTTTTCTTTGTATGTTGCTGTGCATCTACTTGGATTCATTTTGATGAAATATTTTTCTTTGCTATATACTTGATGCCTTTAGCGATGATTCTTTATACTATATTGATATTGTCACCTGTTACTTCTCTGAGTGCTCTGTTTAACCCATTGTTTTCTAGTAAATAATATTCCAAGTCTATACTGTAACCTTCCTAGTTTTTTTTTTTTTGCTTCATCATACATATAAATTAATCTACTTGGGCTTCTTGGCTTTAACTTAACTAAGATTAGTTTTTTAATCCATCATTCGAGATGCACTGTTGATTTTATGATTTCATGATTACTTGCTATTATATATTCTGCTTCTTTGATTTTAGCTTTTTTTAAACCTATGCTTAAATCTTCTAAAATCTAAATTTGGCCAATTCTTGTTTTTGCATCTTAACCCTGCTATGTAAAATGTTTAACTCCTGGATTTAGTATTCTAAATATATTGACAAAGCTCTGTACTTGAAACCATTTATGTAAACTAAGTGCTTTGGTATTATATATCTCACTTGGTTCTATTCTATCTAATTCCTTGTCTACGATGTGATTAAAATCACCCATTACTATGAAGTGAGCATTATCTGATCTTTCTATATATCTTCTAATCACTTCATATTACACTTCTTTTTTGACTTTATTGTCATTTAGTGGAATATAAAATACTAAGACTACTAATTCAAATTTCTTAAAATAGAATTTTGCCTCTATTACATATTCTTTGAACTTTGAAATCTTTCCCAAGTGTTTTTCCTATTTGGAGTTAATTAATATATTAACACCTGATTCTTTTCTTTTAGTAATCTCATCTTTTGACCAGTAACCTCTATATGAAATTTCTTTTTGTATGAATCTTGTATTTTTTTTATTAATATTCATTTCAACTAACCCTAGTATATCTATTTTATTCTCTGTTGTCTACTCACAAAACATCTTTAATTTGGCCTTATTGTTTTTGATTCTATTAATATTATGACATGCTACTTCAATTTTAAATATTTCTTCTTGTACTATTTTAGTTATTTTTTCCTTGCTTCTTTTTGTAGTAGACACTGTGAGTTTACTTTTTTCACTAGAGATGCCTATGGCTATTTTTAGAAGCAGTTTGGCCTAGCCAGATTCTTAACTAGTTTCTCTAATTCTGCAATTCTACTTAAAATCTTATTCTTGTTTCTTATACTTTTATTGTCATTATTATTTGTACTTGACATCCACTACTTCTCTCTGTTTAAAGATTTTCTTGAATAACTTCTACCTCTACTTTTTTCTTTTCTGATCTCTTGTCTTGAGTGCTTTCTTTTTTTTTTTTAATCTGTTATTGTTTGAAAAGTAACTTTGCTTTGTTTTGGCTAACTTTCTAGTATAGCTTGTACTTCTATTTTCTTTTACATTACCTAGCTCTTTATACAAGTGCCTTTGATTATAACTCTCTTTTGTTTTTTTTTCTTTTCTTCTTGATACTAATTGAGTTTTGTATTGTAGTAAAATATCTTCTCTTTTTTTGCCTTTATAAGGTTCTCTAGAAATGTAAAGTAAACTGTCACTACTCTTCTTGGATTACCATTACTATTGTTTGGAAGAAAGACTGATTTTGCTTTAATTCTAAATAATTGTCTTAGCAAAAATGCTTCTATTACGTATTTTGGAACATTTATAATTTTTGCTTTGTATTGATTTCTCTCTAGCAGCTCTTCTTTCTTAAAATCATCTCTTGTCATTCTTAGAAGTTTACTATTTGCTAGGAGTATTGCCTACCTATTGTTTCACTTTTGTCTTCTTTTTTCATTCTTAAAAGTGATTTGTATATATGCCACACTACTTGTTTGTCTTCTTTTTCACTTGATTATAGTAGTTCTTCCAAAGAAACTTAACTCTTTTTTAAGACTTCTTGGTGTTGTTTTTCAGGCATATCCTAAATCATATAAGTATTATCAAAGCTCTTTGCTTTAGATTCTTTGCTTTCTTTTGATATATTTTTACTTGTTTTGTTTTTTTTTATCTTCGTGTTTGTACTATTCTTTTTTTATATTCTAGTGTTGGCCCTTTTGAAGCCTTGATCTTCTTTTTCTTTAGTTTTTCTAACTACTTTTGATTCTTCATTAACTCTGTTTAGTATCTTCTCTTCTGCTTAGGCTGTACATTCTGTAAAGAGATTGTAGTTTTTCTTAATACTATAATTTATTGTTCCACACTCTGACTCTAGCATTGCTTCTCTTTTTTGTTGAATTGCTTCGAGATTTTTTTTCTCATTATAATTATCTTCTTGTATCTCTTTAAGCTATTTTTCAGACAAGTTTCAGTAATTTTCAAGCAGAATCTTTATAATACAGATTTTATCTGCTAAAATTGTCTTAATTCTTGGGCTAGTTCTTTATATACAACTTGTATATTTGTGCATGTTTTTTCTAAAAACTCGTTGCAAGCCTATAAGCCAAGCCTAAATGCTTAGCATTCTTTTTTAAAGAAATTAATTTTTTATTCTGGTACTGGTGTATAATTCATTAATCTTTCGCTATTAGTTTACTTTTCTAGATGATTCCTGTTGGATCTGGAATTTGGGTTGTTGCTAAAAATAGAACATGTCTTGTTTGTTTGTTTATTTATTTGTTTGTTTGTTTATTTGTTGTTTATTTGTTGTTTCTGTTATTGTTTACATGTTGAGAAACTGATCAACAGTTCAGGGTGTAAGCCAATTCCCCAAAATACTAACAAATTTAAAACAAAATTCTTAAAGCCTTCTTTTGGTTAAAAGTCTAACTATACTTTCTAGATAGGTGTTCTAAGTAACTCCTCTTTGTTTAACTTTCTTGTCTCTTTGTATTATGAGAGTATATCTTGTTTTTTGATTAAAAAATATATTATTTCTATGTTTTGTTTTAGCTTCAAAATTGAATTAGAGAATTAGCAGTTCTGTATGAGTTAGGGTATAGATATTTATCAGGTGATTTTTTAGGAGAAGGGTCAAAAAAATTAAAATTTTATATATAATACCTGATTAATTGTATATTAGGAGCTAGAGAGGGGATAAGCTTTTAATAAAAAAAAATCAGGTGATAAATATCTCTACTCTTATAGATAGTTATAAAATAGATACTAATATTACAAGTAATTAATCAAAAAGTTAGAATATTTTAAAAATCTTTAAACAAAATCAAAAATCTTATCAAGTAAGTAGATTTGACTTTATTTAGTATATCACAAAATTCAATTTTATTATATTTAATAATTAAAATATATTATTAACACTATTAACTAATCAATTTAATTAAAATTTGGCTATAATATTTCAAAAAAATTATTATTTTTTTTTTTCGGTGTTAAGGTGACCTCTATAGCCGGGGGCTTTTTATTAGATAATTAACAACATTTACAATTATGATGAGGGTACAACTAGCTACACGTACAACTTTTGGTTGTCTATTTAAGTAGTCCGCCTGGGTTCTACACTAGCTGCCATACCTGCAATCTAACTAGAAGATTACCTATTTAAGCTTTCTGGCTTTTTACAAGTGAGAGTACGACTAGCCATACTTGCAACTTTTGGTTGCCTATTTAAGTAGTTTGCCCAAGGTTCCACACTAGCTGCCATACCTGCAACCCAACTAGGGGATTACCTATTTTAAACTTTCTGGTCACAAACGGCCCATCATTTCTTACCTAACCAAGGTGTAACTCACTATTCATAAGTAAATTTTGCGACACCTATAGATTTTGCCTTTAGCTAATATATTAGCATCTTTTTCTAATCTATTTATAAAAGATTTTATATTATATTTAATTCTAGTTTCATAATAATCATAACAATATTTATATCTTCCTTCTATAGCATTATAGTATACTATATAATATTTATAATCACAAATTAAAACTTCTGCTTCATATTGATTTTTTAAAAGAGTATTATATAAATCACAATTAATTAATGAAGAAATTTTTTTGGTAGAATATCTACAAAGAAGTTGTTTTGTTGATACAGTAATTTCAAGTGCTGGTAAATAATAATGAAAAGATTTATAATTTGTATCTTGATATTCTAATCCTTTAGTTAAATATATTTTTTTAAAATAATTTAATAAAAAAATAGATATTTTTTGAATTAAATATTCTAAACTTGATTGTGTATAAGAATATTTTTTAAAATTTTGAAAGTTTTGTTTAAATTGATCATGGCAATATAAATCAAATATATAATATATATAAATAATTAATTTTATAATATTAAAAAATTATAATTATTAAAAAAATTTAAAATATTTAATAACTTATCTATAACAAATACTTCTCTAATTATTTCTTCTTTAGTAGAATATTTTGTTATATAAGCTCTAATTCTACTATGTATATTTTCTATATAATAATCATTAAAATGAACTAAAAAATTTTTAATAGTATCATTAAAAGGATGATTATTATCTGTCTAATAAAAAATATCTGAAAGAAAAGCTAAAGGAGCTTTATTATAATTTTTTCTAGACAATTTTAGTGCAAATATCCAAATTCTAAAAATTGTTTCTATATATTCTATATATGAACCAGATCTAAATAAAATTCATAAATATTCAAAGTAGCAGGAATTATATTATCTAATAAATCAATAGCCATTCTATATTCAGTATCTTTACAATATAATCCAAATTTTTCTATTATTTTTTTAATTTTTTGCTATGATTTATATACTAATTCTAATAAAAGATTAATTCGCCAAAGTTTAGGTTTTTTAGCAAATTTTTTTTATTACCGAATACAAAATAAAATAGTTGTTTAAAAAATTTATAATTAATTATTAATGCTGTTTCTTTACTATTTAATACAACATGAAGAGGACCAATAATTAGATAAAAATTTTTATAAACTTGTAGAATATTTGTTGCTGATTGTTAAATTTTTAAATATGTAATAAATTTTTCTAATAAATAATTGTCTTGACCAATTTGTAATTATTGAAATTACATTTTGATTTAAATAATTATTAAGTGAAGAAACATTAATAATCATTTTAAGAGTATTAACATAATCATCAAATGAGTATAATTCTAATAATTTAAAATCTACAAGCTATAAATCTTTTATTGATCTTTCTTCTTTATATTCTAAAATAGCATCATCATATAAATGAATTGTTAAATTATCTATACTTTCAAATTTATCTAATTCAAGAGTTGAATAAGATATCTATTGAGATTTTAAATAATTATAACTTAAATCAAAAAGTGAACTATATATTTGTTTTAACTGTTTACAAAGATTATTAGCATCAATATTAATTGGGTTAAATAAAAGAATATTATTATAATTAGCTAAAATAGGTGTTGAAAAATTAACTTTTTTAGTTGTACATGTTGCAAAATGTTTAGTTGAAGATAAAAAAATATTATTTGGTCTACGTATTTCATAAATTGAATAATAATTAAATGTATATGTTGTGTCTTAGATGTATCCTTGCGTTGAATACAATCTGATACACATCAGATGCCAATTTTTAGATGATGCACGTAGCCTGTTGATCAGTCACCTGAGGTGCATAGGTTGTAATCTGATACAAAATAAAAAAAAAAAAATTTAGCAAATATAAGAACGTAATTATGAAAAATGAAATAATGTTATTACAATAAGAACATAAAAAGCCTTTTTGCTTTTATCTTACCTTCTTTTTTTTTTTGTACTTGATTTTTATTTCTTGTTAGTTAGCTTGGTTCTTGTTTCCTACTAATATATTCGATGTTGGCTTAATTCTTGGTACCTACTAATAGTATTTTGGACATTGGGTTTGTTCTTGGTGCCCACTAATACCTTATACGTTGAACATTAGATTTGTTCTTGGTGCCTACTAATAGTACTTGGATGTTGGCTTGTTCTTGGTGCCTAATACCTTGAACGTTGGATGTTGGCATTGTTCTTGGTGTCTACTAAATAGTACTTTGGACATTGAGTTTGTTCTTGGTGCCCACTAATTATACATTGGACGTTGGCTTTGTTCTTAGTGCTACTAATATATTGAATGTTGGCTTTGGCTTTGTTTTTGGTGCTTACTAATACATTTGATATTGGCTTAGTTGCCTTATTTTTTTTGGCATCATTTTTTTTTTTTTTTTGCACAATTTTTTTTTTTTTTTTCACCGCCTATAAAATGAAATATACATTTATTAGTAGAGATACTCTTGATCAAATCTTGAAAAATTATATAAATAATCTTCCAAAAGCAAAGCAAGAAAAAGCCTTAATCAATCTGGAACTTTTAAATAAGATAAAAAACATTTTACTAAACCCCAAAGACACCTCACTTTATGACAAGAATATATGAGGTTGGGCCAAAAAAAAATTTAGGCTTGAAGAAATTATATCTGGAGATTACAAAGTAATTATAAAGGCTACAAATAATCCTATATTGATAACTGAAAGGTTTTATGAGGTTCTTTGTCATATCTATAGTGAAATAACACAACATGGTGGTCAAAAGCAAACCTAGATATCAGTTCATGAAAAGTGGGGGTTTGTAAAACAAGAGGTTGTGGAACAATTTGTAAATAATTGCACTATGTATATAGCCCAAAAACTGGTATTCTATCCTTTAGTGGCGAAGCCAATTATAGCAAAAAATTTTTTGTCTCGCATTTAGGTAAGTTTTACATTTTTAAAGATCAAAATTAAATTTTTTGTTAATTTTTTTTTTTTTTTCCTGCAGATAGATTTGATCAATCTAACTTACATTCCGGATGGAGAGTTCAAGTATGTGTGCCATGTAAGAGACTATTTTAGTAGGTTCTCGTGGGCTAGAGCTCTAATATCCAAGAGACCGATTGAAGTCACGGTATATCTTTTTAATCTTTTTCACATGATTGGATTACCTTCAACCATATTATAGTCAGACAATGGGAAGGAATTTGTAGCACAAGTGATCAAGAAATTAATCGCACTATGGCCATCAATGAAAATTATTAATGAACACTCTAGGCATCCTCAGTTGCAAGGTTTAGTAGAATGTGCCAATGGTATTTTGGAGCAAAAGCTAAGAAAATGGCATGAGACAACTGGTAGAAATGACTGGTCATTCGGCTTGAGGTTGGTTGTAGTAGCTATAAACAATTCGTAGTGTAGATCATATAAAAAAACCCTTATGAACTAGTTTATGGGGACAAGCCCTGTGGCGATTGCTCTCTGGTCAATGAGCTTTCCCTATAAAAAATTTTTAGTCATTATATTCCGATTACAATTAGGTATTTTAGCAATATTCTGATTATATTCCAATTAATGATCTTAAAATCATTGTATAAATTTTTGTTACAAAAAGTATTCAGAAAATATTCTGAAAACATTTCATATTTGAATTAGAAAATTCCAATAATAAAATATATTCCGGAAAAACCACAGGAAAGAATCCGATTTTATATTTATGTTATATTTATATAAACTATATTCTGAAAAAACTACTTGAAATAATCTGTTTTCTATTTATATATAAATTAAAATTTTTAATAATAAAGTATAT